GAGGGCGTGGATTTAACTTTTAAAAACAAGAGTAACTGAGTTCGATATCTCACACGATATTTATTCATCGGCTAGTTAACTATCCCATGGAGTGAGTACCACCAATGGAGTTCTAATTACTGTCAATATTTTGATGAGCAAATGCTTACAGATGTGTGTTATTGTGAATGAATTTTCAAAATAGAAAAACTTGATATTTGAAATTAATGATATTTGAAATTTATCTCAAAGGAAGTTCTCGACTTTATGTTAGTAATTGTACGGCTATTTGTTGGAAAACGCTATTTGAAAACTGTAAAAAAAGTGATAGAAAGAAAGAAGGGGAAATAAAAAAAGAAGAGATAAAGAAAATAAGATACTAGAAAAAAAAAGAACATTGTTAAGAACTAGTGTCAACAATTCAGCCAAAGGGTTTTATTTCGAACAAGTGAAAAAGTAAAAGGAAGAAAGAGAAAATAAAAATTCTGAGAAGGAAATGTAAAATTGGAAACAAAGAAATAAACTAAAAAAAACTAAAGGGACAAACGAGAGAGACCATTTTGGGCATCGGACAGAGAAATCCGTGAAATAGATATTACAATGATAGAAATCGCTCTAAGTTGGTTGTTTTCGTGTTGTCTTTATAACTATTCGTACAACAGTAGAACACGGCTTTTTACTTTAAAATGGTAATTATTACTCAAACTGGAAGCTTGTCTGATCGAATTTGACATCTTGGACGACAATCCTAATTTCATTAGACTGGTCACATTCTATGAAACACCAACGCATCTATAATTAATGTCTTATGACGAGCAATGGGTACAGGTGTGTGTTAAACAGTCTTCACGATTAAGGGATTAAAAATAGAAAGAACTGAAACTACTTTTAAGGAAACAAAGAATTCGTCAAATCCGTTTTGATCGATTCTAGATAAATTCGTGCAAATAAACAACTTGTACTTCTTTTATGAAGCATTATGTGGAAATAGAACAAAGACATTGATAGTGAAAAACTAAAAAGGAAGAATAAGAAAATGGACATTCTGAAAAGGAAATGTAAACTGCGAAATGAAAAATAAACTAAAAAACCTAAAGGGCGAAACGAGAGAAAATAATGAAGAACAAATGACAACGATTCAAAGGTTTTTATTTTTAACATTTAGCACTTAAAGTGACTCCTATGTTATTCTTATCTATATAGTAATAATAACCCTTATAATAATAGTAATAAGTTTAAAGAGCTGAAGAAAAGGACTTCTTGGCCTTAGTAATGTTCACTTATATATATTAGATAAAAGTAGCAATTACGACTGCTTCTTGCTAAACTAATAGATGTACATCGTTTTTTACTGCAATATCATGTATAGTACAACTTAATTCAAGATTGCTGATATATTGTTTTATGTACAATATCAACCTTTGCTAGAAGCGGACTTATTTCTGTTTTGTTACATTATTTCTACTGAACTCTTCTATTCCTTATTAGAGAAGAATAAAAAGTGTTGAATCAGGAATCGTAAGCGTGTTCTACATCTTATGTTAGAGCATTTTAGAATATTTCTGGTCAGATTACTGGACAAGGAACTCAAGTTCACTGATGAACTTGGTACATATTTTCCATAACTCTTGCTTTAGTTTATAACCTATATTATTAAAAGAAAACACTTTACTTTGTTCGATTTGTATTAAGTAACTCTATAATTGAAGTTCATTGTTTTGAGTTTTTTTTCTGTATAGAAACACGGATGTGTTAGTCTAAATGTTGTAATTCAAGTTCGCTTTCGTTTTGCACTTTTTCATTTGTATGTAGACATTGTTCAAAGTCACTTCTAAATATCGTGATCTTCATCAGACGTTCTTCTCCCTCTCCTTCTGTTACACACTGGATTCATCGGTTGCAGTTCGATGGGGTTGTTTAATGCCTGGTTGATTGTCTGTTGTCTGCAGAGTATCTTCTTGACTGCGTCACGAAAATCAGACAGAAATATAAGATAGATGCAAGGACTGAAACAGGAGTTGACCACAGGTAGGAAATAATAAATGATAAAGTACAATGATGGCCAGTCAATACAGGCTGAGAAATTTATTATATCAGCTGACGGGAAGACAGCGTCGGTAAACCTAACAACGGAAAGAGCTAAGAAGGGACACCAGCAGCAAGCATACAGCAATACCGAGGCGAGAACCATTCTTACGGCTGACTGGGTTCGACGTGCTCGTACGTTTCTTTGTTCTTCGCTAAGGTGATTTTGGATGCCTTGTGGTTTTGTCAACCGTCTTATTGTTAGAATAGCGAGAATGAATATTACACAACAGAGGATAACCATAATAGCTTGTTCAGATAGTACAACAAACGAAGTGACTCTGTTATTCAGTAAATCGCTATACCATACACGACAAATTTGGCCATGTGGACTTTGCTGATACACGTAAACGATTGGGGCTGTCATGGACATCAGCCAAGTGACAGCAATTATCGCCATACGTTGCTTCAGTGTGTATGGTCTCGATCTTTTCAAGGTTTTTGCTGTTGCTCTGAATCGTTGAATACTGATTACTAATAGAGTAACTAATGATACCCTATATGAGATGTATAGCAGAAATATTGTAGTTTTACAGATTATAACACCTAGTGTACCACTGGGATATATGCTCCATTTATTGTCAGACAGCCATGGAACAAGGTACAATAAATCCATGAAGAGATATAGAGCATCTGAGACGGCCATGTTGATGATCAAATGATGCAGGTTCTTGCGTACTGTGAATTTAGCTGCGAGTACTATAACGAAGATGTTGAAAGAAATCCCCAGTACAACGACCAGTACGTAGGCTGTGCGTTTGGCAATTTTCTCAACATGGGTTTCAGGTTCATCGTACTTGCAGTAGGTGTTAACCGTACTGATGTTAGAGACGTTGGCGAGTGATGTGTTTGACTCGTTCATCTTTGTGTAGTTTATCTTCTCGCTGTCTGTATATCGTTGTAAAATAACAATACAAATAATGACACCAAGACACTCTTATGTACCTTATGATGAAGTTACGAGGGGCGTGACTAAGTACTTTTCACAGAAAAGGAGAGTTTCTTGACACAAAATGTGACTAAAATTAAAGCAGGCTTAGAACACTGTTGGTGAATTTACT